GGTAGGACGGTCACGTCTGGGGTAGTGTCGGTGCAGGACTCTAGCTCAATAGCGCCTTTGCACTGGTTTGGACCTTCGGTAGGGTGGTCACCTCTGGGGTAGTGTCGGTACAGGACTCTGGCTCAGTAGTGCCTTTGCACTTGTTTGGACCTTCAGGAGGGCGGTGACACCTGGGGTAGTGTCGGTGCAGGACTCTGGCTCAATAGTGCCTTTGCACTGGTTTGGACGTTCGGTAGGGCGGTCACGTCTGGAGTAGTGTCAGTGCAGGACCCCGGCTCAATAGCGCCTTTGCACTGGTTTGGCCTTGGCTGCCAGCACTGGTTGTTTCCGGTGGGGTTGTCGGCTGTGTGAAGCAGGCCGTGTGCGTCTTTGGCTGTGGAGCTCTCTTCGGCAGCGCAACAGGCCTGAGTGCTTATTAGCTGTCTCGGGATCCAGGGAACATTTGGGTTTTCACAGCTACAGCTGGAGCCTTGGCGGGCATATGGGAATGAGATTCTGCCACTCTGGAAGATGCATGCCCACAGGTTTAACTGCAGTTTGCTGATGGTCCCCAAGCCTGGAATTAGCATGTTGAACAGACCCCTTTGGTAACAGTCTAGTGCCAGCTTGGACCTAAGAAGAATTAAAAATCAGCAAACTTCCACTATTTTCAATGTCTTAAGAGAAATAAGTGCAGCATTTTTGCATTTCTGACATTTTACTTAAATAAATAAATAAAACCACCAAACTGGGAGAGGTGGAAAATCAGTCATTACCACAACAACCCTACAGAGGCAGCAAACATGCAACGCGATTCTTGTATACTGATGTTATCTTTTCTTTCTTTATCTCTAGGTAAAATCTCAAGGGTAAAATGTTAGTTGTCAACACTGAGGGCCCTGAAACCTCATTTCTCACTCAGAGGAACAGTGTGGAAAAAAAAAAAAAAAAAAGGTCTGGACGTGGTGGCTCACGCCTGTCATCCCAGCGCTTTGGGAGGCCGAGGTGGGGGCAGATCGCTTGAGGTCAGGAGTTCGAGACCAGCCTGACCAACATGGTGAAACCCCATCTCTACTAAAAATACAAAAATTAGCTGGGTGTCATGGCAGGCACCTGTAATCCATCCCTGCTGCTGGGAGGCTGAGGCAGGAGAATCACTTGAACCTGGGAGGCAGAGGTTGCAGTGAGCCAAAATCACACTATTGCACTCCAGCCTGGATGACAGAGCCAGTCCCTGTCTCAAAAAAAAAAAGGAAAGAAAAAAAAATCTCTTACGAGATTTAAAATGTCTGTTCTTTTGCTCATCTTAGAGCAC